ATTCAATATTGATTAAAATATATAGAGCCCTACATTGATATCATAACTGCATTGATAAATGTGAGAAAGACAGGTGAAACAAATGGAATCCTTGAAGAGGGAAATTGTGAAGTTCTATGTGAAATAATGCAGTGAAAATTTCAGACAAGAATCAAGAGAAAAATTGAGAGGGTAAAAAAATCAATTCTTATTTCCTTTCAGGCCAGAATATTCTCAGATGGCATGTAAAAATTTCCTTTCTTTTTTACTGGATACACCCGGGTCACTAAATGCCACACACCCTGCCATACTCGTGTCCATGATACCGCAAAACGTTATACCACCATAGTGAATGGCTGCTCTGTTTCCAAAGTGTTCTTCATATTTTCAGTTTGCAGTATGCAGAATATGTACTGTGTAACAATCTCAGATTTTTTTGAGTGAATTGTGATGTGTACAAATAGTGGAATTGTCAGTTTTAGGGCAGAAATAAACAATTAGATATGTACAATAGTCTAAATGTCTAAAAGTAATAAAATAATAGGTTTTACAAAAAATTACTTTAAACTATTAATTCCTGATTGTTCAAGAAAAGAAAAAAAAATTTACTTTTAAGACTGTACTGAGAGACAGAGTGTAATAAATCACAAAATGGATTCATTTAACAAACACTTCTCTGAAATTCCTCCATCAGTCGCTTTCCCCACCAGCAGCGATGAGGATGATGACAAGATCGTCGGGGGCTACACCTGCACAGCACACTCTGTGCCCTACCAGGTGTCCCTGAACTCTGGCTACCACTTCTGTGGGGGCTCCCTCATCAGCAGCCAGTGGGTGGTGTCTGCAGCTCATTGCTACAAGTCGTAAGTGATCAAGGCTCACACTCTTCTGTTCTGAAGCACTCGGGAGGGACATGTATGATTGCCCTTTGAGTATAAGGCACTCAGAGCGAAAATCTATATTATTTCCTCAAGTGTTGTGTGAGGAAATGAGGACCTTAGCAAAGACAAATAACTTTGGATTTCTAACATAACTCCATAAATAATAGTCAAGGACATGAGAGGAAAGTAGAGGAACGGAATGTCTTCCTACGAAGTGTGTAAGAACATGAATCAGCACAAGACCCTAATGATTATAACACAACCACAGAAGACTGCTATAAAAATACCAAAAATACATACAGATCCTAGATTACTACAAATAACATGACTCATGGCACTCCTTCCCATTCTGCCATATGGCTTGTGCCTGACTCTTCAGCATGTGAGAACCAGTGACACAACCATAGGAGAAATGCCAGGTCCTGATAAACATCAACCAATTTACCAATTTCCTTTTCATCTAATGGTAGGCAGAACTTCTTAGTTCCCATTCCCGATCCTCACTATTACAATAAAATGGAGAGCCTTAGTGGCACTTACTAAGATGTGCTCTTCATGGAGCTTTAGTGGCAGTGGACTTAGCATGCACTGTGTGAGTCAATACCAGAAGAGGGTGCTGTCTGTAGTCCTGACCGGAGTCTGCATAGTCAGGAGAATCAAAAGCAAGTTAAATTGAATGTTTAACAAAACTTGAACCTTTTTATCCAGTTCCATCCAGGTGCGTCTGGGAGAACACAACATTAATGCCAATGATGGCTCTGAGCAATACATTAGCTCTTCCAAGGTCATCAAGCATCCTTCATTCAGTTCATCCACACTGAACAATGACATCATGCTGATTAAACTGAGCAAGGCTGCCACCCTCAACTCCAAAGTGGCCACAGTCTCTCTGCCATCATCCTGTGCATCTGCAGGAACTCAGTGCCTTGTCTCTGGCTGGGGCAACACCCTGAGCAGTGGCAGTAAGTGTCTCCTGGAATAGAAACGCTGAGTCTTTGTGGAAGGCATGTGGATGGTCAGTTAGCTCCAACTGTCACTCATGATGAGATGCCCAGTGACTAATTTTGAAATCTTGAGACTTAAAATGCATGTGCATGAATAAAAGGGGGACATCTTCAATGATAACATACCAAATGCACATGCTAACAGTGACCATGATAAAGATTTTAGGGACTATGACATAGACGGGGTGGGTGATAGGCAAAAATCCAAAGAGGTCAATAAGAGAGGTTAAGGGATGTGTGAGTAAAAGAGGTGCATTCCTGCATGAGAAATGAAGTCTCTAAGCTCCAGAACATGGGGAATCCATGTTGTCAAAGAAGCAACATGCTTATTGGAAACAGTTGAATTCATGACCCAGAAATTATTGGAACACTGAGAGAACAAGCAGAATACAAGACAATTGGGAGAGAAATTTCAAGGAGCCCTGTGTTAATTGTCTTCCACTTTCATCTTGCCTTCCACAGCCAGCATGCCGTCTCTCCTGCAGTGTCTGAATGCACCCGTCCTCTCTGATTCCTCTTGCAAGAGCTCCTACCCCAACCAGATCACTAGCAACATGTTCTGCTTGGGCTTCCTGGAGGGCGGAAAGGACTCCTGCCAGGTGAGTGTCTGTGCTCCTCCCGCACCCAGGCTTGCTCTTCTCCACCTGAGTTTCCCTGTTCTGAAACACACAGGAATGTATGAGCATCCCTGGACTGATGGAGAGAGATGAGGTCCAGCTTTGGGTAAATCATAGGGTTTCTTTCTGTGACATTAATTGCTTGTGTCAATTGTAAAGTGAGACACAAACAATGCCATGAAAAGAGTACATGCAGATATGGTCTGAGCCTTTGATGAAGGATATTATTGAAGGGAATCCTCCTCATAAGATGATCAGAGATGACTAGGTAGCACTGAAACAATCTTGGATTCCATCACCTTGACCTTCCAGATTCTACAAAGAGAAGTATACTACTGATGTAGTAGAGACAGAGATTTTATTTCCAGAGGGAAGGATGGTGTTCCATGAAGATCAGCAGCTGAGAAAACAGAAAGAACACCTACCACCCCATCCCCTATCTGACCATAAACAAGAGCACTGATTGTCTCTTCCCCTGCTCAGGGTGACTCTGGTGGCCCCGTGGTCTGCAATGGAAAACTCCAGGGTATTGTGTCCTGGGGCTATGGCTGTGCCCTGAAGAACAAGCCTGGAGTCTACACCAAGGTCTGCAACTACGTGAGCTGGATTCAGCAGACCATTGCTTCCAACTAAAATCCCTTTTACTCTCCACAGTCCACCCTGTTAGTTAACTTTTCTTTCCATGTCTGAAAATAGTAACTAAATAAAGACCTTTTTTCAGCACCACATTTGTTAAGAATGGTCCTTTGTTAGAAGTACTGAACTTCCTCTTGAACCTTGCTTCTGAGTGAAAAGGTGGATGGAGGGATGGACTTGTGTGTGACACAGTGAGGGAAACCACTTGCAGTGACAGTGACATCCTGTATCTGGTACTGGTTGGAGTCATGGCTACTCTGCTTCCTTATTAAATGGCATGAAAAGACAGTGAAGAAGAGTCAAGTCGTTGAGCCCCAGCCAGCTTTCTGAGAGACTTGGAAAGAATCCTAGGATCCTGGCTGCAGATTGAATCCATAACACACCTTACAACAATTTGCACAGCAGCATGATAGAAAGATTCCTACGTCTCTTTCTCTCTGTCACAATCTAGCTTTCAAAGAAATAAATCTTAAGAAATGGTACAAATATATGAATTATTGAAATCGTTTTTAAGATTAATTAGAGGCCCAGTGTGGCAGCCCAGTGGCTAAAATCTTTGTCTTGCTCGCACTGGAATCCCATATCGGTGCCCGTTCATGTCCTGTTTGCTCTACTTCCCATGCATCTCATTGCTTATAGCCAGAGAAAGCAGTGGAGGATGGCCCAAAGCCTTGGGACCCTGCAGTCTTGTGGGAAACCTGGAAGAAGTTCCTGGTTCCTGGTTCAGATCAGCCCATCTCCAGCCATTTCAGCCACTTGGCGATTGAATCAGGCAGCAGGAGCTGGGGACCTTGGCAGGGAGTGAAATGCAAGTTATTCCAAGTTTTATTTCTGCAGGAGTAGTTCTGGTGTAGGCATGCTTCTCTCTCTCTCTCTCTCTCTCTCTCTCTCTCTCTCTCTCTCTCTCTCTCTCTCCCTGGAACTAAAGATTTGAGCTTGCTTTTGCATGCCACCTGCATTTCCCATTTCCCACAAGCTTCAATTTTTCACTCCTCCCCTGGCTTTTCAGCAGAGGTATTGAGGTGTTTCCTGTGGAGTTTCTGACCTACACAGGAGATGACAGGCTATCACACTCTCTTACTTCAACATTATAGGAACACTTACCAGTAACTTCAAGAAACATGAGAAGAGCAATGATACAGTGTTTCTCTAAAAGCTCTCAGAGTCATGTGGAACAATGTGAAAAACGTTCCCTTCAGCCTGCTCCCCGAACAACTGACCTTATCTGTACTCCCAGGTTTCTGTAAAGCAAGTGATATAAGATAGGAAACATTCATCCAGGCAACCATACAGATAACCCTCCACTTCTCAAATATGGTAAGAAGTATTGCTGGGATTAATCACAAGCATGTCTTCAAAATAGGGTAGTAGTTAACAACAGCTCATGAGGCATTTCAAGAAAGGGATTATTACAGATGCTTATTGAAAAAATAAAATAACTTCTGTGTTCCATTAAGATATTCTGACCCACAAAGGAGAGCTAGAAGAAGCTCCTACGTTCAGCCCAGTGGCTTCAGCCATTTTGTCCATTAAAGAAGGGAAGCAGCAGATGGAAGATCTATCTATTATCTGTCTTTCCCTGTCTCTCGCTCCAACTCTTCCTCTATGGTTCTGGTTTCCAAATAAACAATCTTTTTTGTTTTTTCTGGACCACAAACTTCATCTGACAGGAACCCTCCTAACACACACAGGAAATGAGGCTGGGAGACCAGGCAGTACCAGGCTCGAGCACATGCTGGCATATGCAAAGACCAGGACTGAAGACAGGCCAATACCAAGCAGAGAATAAGCCTGGCAGAAAAACTTGGGGAACTTCCCTACTATGTTTCAGGTCCCACTGGGTACTACAAGAACTGAGGCTGGGGGTGAGTTAGGCAGATTGTCAGCACTGGTTAGCATTGTTTTGGCCAGATCTGGGGCCAGGCTGGGATAGGACAAGCTGCAGTACCCTCTGGCATGTATATAGCCAGGAAATGGTGTGAGTTGTGCACAGCTGGATTAGGCTGCAATGCCCACCGGTGAAAGTTGAGACTGTCGGTGGGCTATGCCAGGCTGGGTTGAAACACCTGCAATGCCCACCATGTGCAAGACCAGGGTTGGGAACGGGCCTGGTAAGGGGGAACTTCCCTGCTAGGCTGCAGCTCCCACTGGTAAATGCAAGAGCTGAGGCTATGGGTAGAGAAGGCTTGGCAAGGCCACAGCACCTGTTAGCATATGTGTTGCCTGGGCCTGAGGGTGAGCCAAACTGGGTTTGGCTCCAGCACCCATTGGTGTGGGATAGGCCAGGCTAAGCTGTGGCACCTGCTAGGTCACATGAGAACAAGGTCTGGCTATAAGTCAGGATAGACTAGACTGCAGCACCCATTAATGAGAGCTAGAATCAGTGTAGGCCAGCCGGATCAGCATGCAGCACCAGCTGGTAAGTTCCAGGACTGGATCAGAATCACATAAGGCTTGATGTATTGTCTGATTTTGCAATGCATCTATCTGGACTGGACCTCCTCAGTTGCTCATGCCTATGCAGTGGATACCATGCCAAGACACACATGAGGAACATGACAGCCAGATCATCTAGACCAGCAGGGCACATCAACGACCTCATCAGAGGATGGGTGGGACAGTTTTCCTGGCCAAGCTTTGCAGCATATTCCTGTGTCTGTGGATGCACCAAGGTGGACTTGGTCAACTAATAGATGCTGGAAAGATTTTCTCAATCCTGGAGCATTGAAACCAACACCTTCTGAGAAACATGAAAAGCACTCAAGTAACACCCTTGAACACTCTTCCTCACATTGGGGTCTCTAAGGCATCATCAAGTGACTATCTCACAGCCCAGGTGCCAATGTAGTTGACAAGAAGGAGCGTCCCCTATCCCCCCTCCCTTGCCAATTCAGGGAGACAAAAAGCATGTGTTCCACCCACCTCCCTCCATATGTGACCCTGCCCACCCTACTAAGAGGTCCACATGGGCATGCACTCCTCCCAACTATGTAAAACAATATTAAAAAGAAAATTAAAATTAAAAATGTGTATTTTTAAGAAAAGGAAAGGTACATTATCTTTTGTGTCATTAGGTGTTTCTAAGGTAAATGATAGTTCTAGTGTATTAGCATTTTCTTTGGGGATTCGAAAGCCTCCTGGCTCTGGGAATTCCCCTGCCTGAAACTTTCCCCCTCATTCGCTTTCTTTTTGTTTGTTTTTCCAAAGCTGTGCCTGGAGGACTAGGGACAGATGACTTACTAGGGAACAATACACCTCTGTGACCTACAGGAGGAGCTGTGACTTTGCCAAAACTTCCAAGGCACAAAGCGGAAGCCAAGAAGAGGCAGGAGCAAATAAAAATATTTCAATGTCAGCATTTGTTTCTTATTCCTGGTTCGGATCTACGGGAACAATTCAAAGACCAAAAGTGCATTCCATATAGAACTTCCATTTTCTCCCTCCTATCAAATAAAAGAATTAATTAATACTTTCATTATGTTTAATCTGTTAACCAGCTTGCTCCAGGGAAAGGCTCTGATAACTTGGGATTGGTGGCCCTTCTGATTAGTCGGGATAAGGGGCTGGAGTTGGAGTGTCTTGTCCAGGTTTCATAAGAAGGAGAGAAGAACCTGCAATTGAGGACAGGAGAATAACAGACTAGAGGAAAAGGAGGTGCAGCCACTCGTTGTAGGATGGAAGCCACTTGCAGAAAAGCAAGCTGCGTGAAGAACTTTTGTGGCAGGTCTGGAGTGTGATAATTCCTGCAAACATACCAGGCATGCTGAGCTAGACGGGCCAGTAACAACCTATTCTGTGAGGCATCTGAGTACAAAAAAGAAACTGTGAAGATTGGAGAGGAGCTTCTGGGTGAGGGAGGGTTAAGGGATGGTTTGGGTTTATTTAGAACAGGAAAATGTGGTCTACAGAGGCGGTGAATCAAGGTTGAAGTGGGGTGGATTAAATACATATTATACATTTTCACTGATGTACACCTGTTGTGGTTCAACTAAAATCCTGGATTCCCAGACTTGTTGTGTGTGAACCTTCGCAGATTGTATAGGAGGACGGTTTTAAATGACAGGATGGGAGCCCAAAGCAGGTGCAGGTGGAAGTTTTATTTCCCCAACAAAGAGAGAGGCATTGGGGGCTGGGTCTCTACTCGATTTCAGCCTAGTCCAGAAAAGCTCCACAGAGTTGCAAGTAACTGGGACCCTAGCTGCGATGCCGACAGGCCAGCGGCACCCCAGGGATCTTGCAGAGATGGTTTAACTGAGGGAAACCTGTCACTCAAGACAAAGACATACTACTTTATTTCTTTCACTCCAGAATATCAGGGACAAAAGCTAGAAACATATGTTTAAAAAAAGGGCTTATATTTTGAAAGTCAGACTGACTGACAGAGACACTGAAAGAGACAGAAAGAAACAGAAAGAAAGAGGAGGGAGAAGAAAGAAAAACAGATCTTCAAATCATTACTTACTAGGGCTGTGCAAGGCTGAAACCAAGATACCAGAACTCCATCCACAATAGATAACAGTGTTTCAAGTACTTTGGCATATTCTCTGTTGCTTTCAAAGGCACATCCCCCACGAGCTATGTTAGAGGTGGAGCAGCGTGGACTGAAATCGGCACTATGTTAACAGGTGCCAGCATCACAAGTGACTGCTGAAGCAGCTGTGCCACAGTACCAACTAAAAGGTTTTTATTCTTGCCTCTGCCAGGGAGGGGGCCCTAGAATTTCTTGGAGGAGAAGTACCTGCAGAAGAACAGGGAACCCTCTGACAGGCAAGAGATTCCCCTCTGGTCTGTGTCCTCAACTTCTGTCTCCAGATACATTATCTTTGCAAGGAAAACACCTGAGGATTCCAGAACACCTGGAAATAGAAGATGTATTAAAAGATATTCGGGATGCAGACATGAAAGAAAACTTATCAAACAGCTTTCACTCAAGGCACCTTTTCACCTACAAAGAAAAGTGCATGCTGAATTTCCCTTACTTCTTATCAACTTAAGAATGCTGCAAAACTGTTTTAGGTAGGCTTTAGTTGTTATGCAGAAATTTCAGAATATACAGTCATGCTACCAAACATTTTCCACCACACTTGCTAGAGTGAGTCTAGCCCAAAAATTTATAGGCAAATCATTATCCCTTCTTCGAGGGTTAATCTTGAATTTAGAACAGAACAATCTACTGAAGAGAGTCATTTCAATTTTCTACGCTGGGGTCTAAATTTCTTGGCTTTTTGTATTAAAAGCCAATAAAAAATAAGCTGAAAGTAACAAAAATAAAGAATACAAAAACACATACTCAACATTAAATATTCAGAATGAGAAATTTTGATTATATTTAGAGATTCAGGGGCATGTGTAAATCATCCATGTCTATATGTTTTTCAGTAACAGAGTTCAAAAACATAACAACTGTTCACCAAATAATTCTTATGCATCATACTTTTAATATTAAGATTCCTTGAGTGCAGATTTCAAATGACTCAGATTATTTACAATACATATAATAGAAATAATAGATATAAATATTTAAGTAAATAAATCAGATTATAGCGGCTAGGTAGGTAAATAATGCTAATGATGCCATAAGCCTGATAATCAAATGACCTGTAACAGGATGTCCCATTTAGTTTTGATTAGAATTTCCATTTGGAAAAGTAGCAGCTGTTGGTTCATTTGCAGGCAAATGATTACAGGAGCAAATGTGTCTGTTGATCTTTGTATTTTTGTCAGAAAGAAGAAAGACTTTCTTGGGCTCAGAACCACCACTAGAAACTAGCACTCTGCTAAGCAAAACAGAAGGAATGTGATGTCCCCTCATTCCCTTTAAACCCTGAGAAAGTCCTGCTGAACACCAGTGAACTAAGAGAAGCCTCTGTGTAATGCAGTCTCCATGAGACTCTATCCAGGTAACTAAATCTGACAGGGTGGGATGTGAGAAGTTCTCCTCCCATCCTCTCTACCAGGGCACCCAGCAAAGTTTCCCTAGAATTCCTAGGGGCTAGTAGAGGCAGCCAGCCCTGGCAGGTGCAGTTGTGTTCTCATGGAAGTCACAGGAAGACAGGCAGTGATGGAAGCTTGGATCTAGAGTGGGAGGAAGATTTTGTTTCTGCAACACAGCACATGTGCTTTTCCATCTGAGAGCTGAAACCCTTGGGAAATGGCTCCCATTCGAACTGCTTCATTATTGGCTAGCTAGTGTTGGCATCTAGCAGAGCAGTTAAAACATTTCATGGGACACACACATCCCATCTTGGATGTTCAGAAGTTCAAGGCCCCTTCTGCCTGGGATTCCAACTGCTTGCTAATGCACACTTGGGGAGGTGGCCGGGGATGGGTCAAGCACTTGAATGTCTACTGTTCTCATGGGAGATCCGGCTGGAGTTTCAGGCTCAGGATCTTGAGGTCATTGGAGGAGAGAGCCAGTGGTTGGAATGTATGTGTGTGTCATCTGTCTCTCTGCCACTCAAGTTATTCTAGGAATTTAAACATCAGATAGCTAAGACTATGACCGATCTCTCCCACATGCCTGGGGATATCACTCAACTCACAGGCACTGCAGTTCTTCTTGTCCCTCTGCCTCATTCCCACTGGTCCTGAAATCTCCACCTTTCAGGCCTGAAGTTACCTCCTTATGTCCTCCCCTCATTCAGTTTCTTTCCTCAAGTCTGGCCCATGCCAGGAGTTCCATGGTTGATCTTTATCCCTTTGTGAAGACACCATCTTCTCTGTTTTGTTCTCCTTTGTCAGAATAAAAAGTGTATTGAGCCACTTCACTTTTAGCCTCTGTTTTTTTTTTTCACCTTTCTTTATAGATAATTGAAAGGTATTATTTTTCACTTATCTTGTGAAAATATATAAAATAACAGTGATATAACTGTCATACCTCATGTGAAATAA